TATCTTCTACTACCAGGGTCAAAGCCAAAGCCAAGATCTTCATTCTGAGCATCCAGTGCTACGAATACAATCCAATGACGCTTCGTCTCTCCCTTACCCACTAAACTGGGCTCAATACCTCTAACCCCCTCTTAAATTCAACCCTCGCAAATCCATAAAACTCCCCCGCCGCAAATCTCACTGATTATCGTAGACCAGTGTTCACCCAACCCAGGAGGACCAGGCGGCTCAAGGTATTTATTCCCTACGAAAAAAACGGGCATAGTCTTCAAAAAATCATTGGCAAAAACCACGATGTAATTAGTTTTGATCCACGAGGAGTAGGAGCCTCAACCCCTCTCATAAACTGTTGGGCCTCGAAACAAATTTCCCAAGCCTGGAAATTAAGTGATGTAGGACTTGTGGATTCGCATCCGGGGATGCTTTATGATGCGTACGCAAGAGCGAGTGCTCTGTCTCATACATTTCAGGAGAATATGCAGCGAGAAGCAGAAGATAGAGGAGAGGAATCATTGTTGAGGTTTGTGAGTACCACAAGTGTGGCTCGTGACATGCTTGAGATTATGGAGAAGAGTGGGACGGAGAAGATGAGGTATTGGGGGTTTAGTTATGGGACTTTTTTGGGGGGAGTCTTTGCTGCTATGTATCCTGATAGGGTGGAGAGAATGGTTAGTGATGGTATGTATTTAGAATTTATTTTGTTATTCATGAAACTACGGCGTATTTGCGTGACATTCTTTTATCATCGTTACTAAACTCGACGCAGGAAATGTAGATTACATCGAATGGTCAACCAATAGCCATACCTCCTTCCTCCACGACTCTGACAAAATAATGGAAGCATTCTATCACTACTGCCACGCATCTGGCCCCCAAAACTGCGCCTTCTACTCGTCTACCCCCTCCAAAATCTCCACTCGTCTAGAAAATCTCCTCACCACCCTAAAAACCCACCCCATAATCGTCCCTCCATCAGACCCCACCCTCTTCCCCGAAATAATAACATACACCTCCCTCAAACGCCTCATCTCAGCCACACTCTACCGACCCATCCTCCTCTTCCCAACTCTAGCAAATGTTCTCCTCTCCCTCGAAACCGGCGACGGAATCCCCTTTCTCAATTTCATCTCTACACTCGATTTGCACGAATCTTTTACCTGCGAATGCGATGTTAGCAGTAATGGAATTTTAGCACCAGCAAAAGAAAAAGAAGAAGAAGGAACAGATGATGCTATGGCTGCTATTATGTGCTCCGATGGGGGAATCATGAATGAAACTGTTTCGGAATTTGAAGTTTATGCGGATACACTTATGGAGGGAGCATTGATGACGGGTGCTGCGAATGTAGAGGTTAGAATGTCGTGTGTGGGATGGAATGTAGTGCCTAAATGGAGATATACCGGTATCAATTTCCCATCTCTTCCCACTCTATCTCATTTCTCCACATCATCATACTTCCAAAATCCCCCATCTATGCTAACCACCCCAGGACCCTTCACCTCCACCACCAATCACCCAATCCTCTACATCGCCAACCGTGCCGACAATGTCACACCACTCCGTAGCGCCCTCTCCAACGCTAAAAACTTCCCTCGCTCTAGAGTAGTAATCCAGAATTCATTCGGTCATACGAGTTTAGCTGCGCCGTCGATATGTACTGCGAAGATTATCCGGGCGTATTTTCAAGAGGGGCTGTTGCCGGAGAATGGGATGGTTTGTGAGGGGGAGGGGCGGTTATTTGGTGGGGAGGGGATGAGAGTCGCTGGGGATGAGATTGGGAGGGGGGAAGGAGAGCGGGGTGAATGGGAGGAAGATGAAGAACTTAAAGAAGCAGGACGGAATTTAATGTTGAGTGTTGATTTTTCTTGGAGTAAATTTTTTTAAATATGAATATATATTATATTTCTATTACCTTCTACATATAAATATATATATAAAGCTCGAGCATAAAGCGAGTAATAATCTCAAATGATCAGTGACTAAGTGACCAAATAAACAAGTAAGTGGACACGTCCCCTTCCCAACCAAGGAAAGTGGACGCGAATATAACATCGATCAAACTCTATTTTAACCTTTATTAGTGTAACCTTTGGCTACTTCAAAGTGGGTTCCTGCGTATACACGCATACATGCATGGATTATACCCACCAATCCCATTGTTGAGTTTTGTTGGTTTTATTATCTGATTGATTGATTAGGATGGGATTTGTGGTTGTGATTTCTTGAGAGTTTTTTTATGAGAGAATTTATTTATTTATATGGGATATGTATGGCTATGTAAGATTATATGTCCGGCTTCGGATGCTGGATGGAGGTGGGTGGGTTTGTATGGGGATTGGATAGGTATATAAGGGTGTAGAGATATCAGTTGGTTTGATTCTTTTTTCTTTAGATTTATTACTTGGGATACTTTTTTCTTTCCAATTAGTCTTACTTATACGTCCTGCTTTAAGTTGTTTGTTTGGGATTCAGGAGGAGTTTTGAGAGTGTTGTTTTCTTTATACGATAGTGATAGTGGAATATAGTTGGAGAGAAGAGGAACAGAAAAAAAGAAGATTAGTTTCTTCATCTCCATTCTCAAGAACCTCCGCATACACATCCATCTCAAAACAAAATCAAAATCAAAATGGCTCCCTACATCACCGAGGAAGAACTTCCTCAAGCAATCCCAACTCCAGTTTCTAAAAACCTCATCGACGACGAGGAAGGATCTTCACCTCTACCCACCAAAGACCACCACACCTCATCCTCCCAAACCCCAAAACCAACCTACCAATCTATCTCTCAACACCGCCAACAACAAATCACCTCCTCTATTCCACCACAATGGATTCTTCCACCAAATATCCTGGAAGCATCTCGCAAACACCCTATCAATCTTGTAAAAACATGTGGTCTTTTGAGTGAAAGAGAGATAGAGATTGTGTATAGTAATGCAGTTACTTTACTTGAGAAGATGAGGAGAAGGGTGTATACGGCTGTGGAGGTTACGAGGGCATTTTGCATGGCGAGTGCTGTTGCGCATCAGGCTGTGAGTTTTATTTATTTCGTTTGTTTCTGTACTTTGGGGAATTTTGAGAGGGGATGAAGGGGTTTCGGAATTTTTGCATGTTGAGGGAGAGATGAAAAAAAAACTAATAATAAATAGACAAACTGTCTCGCCTGGACCATGTACGACTCAGCTCTTTCCCGCGCCGCCGAACTCGACGCCTACATGGAATCAACAGGAAACCCTATAGGACCTCTCCACGGTCTCCCAATTTCAGTAAAAGAACATCTCTATCTCATTGATACACCCTCAACCTCGGGATTCGTAGCATGGGCCAATAATTTCTGTGCGAATAATGAGCAGGAGGGCGTTTGTGTCAAAGTTCTCCGCTCATCTGGTGCAATTTTCCACGTCAAAACGACTAATCCTCAAGGTCTCATGGCTCTTGAAACTTCATCAAATCTTTACGGTACTACTACCAATCCTCTTAATACCACACTTTCCCCTGGTGGTTCATCGGGAGGCGAATCAGCGTTGATAGCTATGCATGGATCTATTTTAGGAATTGGTACGGATATTGGAGGAAGTATTAGAGTACCTGCTATAAGTTGTGGTCTTTACGCATTAAAACCTAGTGTGGCACGACTTCCGCATTCCGGTTTATCTGGTGCTCATGATGGAATGGAGAGTATAGTTGGAGTAGTGGGTCCAATGGCTACTTGTATAGATGATGTAGAAATATTCTGCAAAACATTGTTGGATGCGGAGCCTTGGAGACAAGAAGTAGGATTATTACCTATTCCATGGGGATGTCGTGAAAGTATCGAGTCAAAAGGGGAGAAAGAGGAAATGAGAAAATTAAGAATAGGTATTATATACACCGACGAAGTACACACACCGCACCCACCCATAACACGAATTCTGCACCACACAACCTCTCAGCTAAAAACCTCCGGACACGAAATCCTCCCCTTCCCAACACATCTGCACCGTCCCATCACAGAAATAATAGACGCGCTCTACCTCCTCGACAACGGCGCCGAATACCTCACCCATCTATCCCACACCTCAGAACCCGCTACCCCACTCCTCCAATGGCTGCTCTCCAAACCCAGCACCCAATCTCGCAGTATTCCCGAACAATGGATACTCCATCAACAACGAAATCATCTACAAGATGCTTATGCGAAAATTATGGAGAAGATGGATATTGATTGTATTATTGCGCCTGGGGGTGTGAGTGTTGCGAATGCGCATGGAGAGGCGAGGTATTGGGGGTATACGAGTGTTTTTAATGGGTTGGATTTACCGGTTTTTTGTTTACCGGTTGGGGGGGTGGGGGAGGGGGATGGAGTGGATGATGGGTTTGGGGTGGGTGGAAATCGAGAAATTGAAGGAGGAAAGGATGTTAAAGAGAAGACGGAAATGGAAAAACAATGGGGTGATAATGGACAAGGAGCTAAGAAGTATGAGGGAGGAAGTGTAGGAATACAGATTGTAGGGAGGAGATTGGAAGAAGAGAAATTATTGAAGATGGTGAGGATTATTGAGAGGGATTTGGGGTTGGGTTTGTGAATTTGTCAGCTTTTGAAATTACGGATTTTTGTCCTATTAGATTATATAAGTGTTCATTCATCTTGTTAATTATCTATTTCATATCACCTCATCTGAACTCATCTCGTCTCAGATTACCTCATTTCATTCCGGGAAATCAATCAATACATTATTTCCCAATCTATACCCATCTATTCCCAAACTAACTCTCAAACCCAATCTACAATAGCCCTCCCACCCCACACCTCCACTTCTCAAACCTCATCATCATCATCATCATCACCCCCCAAACTTAACCGTTTAATCCTTATCTTCCAAAGATATTCTAAGCTTCCCAAGTATCTCCTTCCTCTCAAGCTCAAACTCAAGCAATTCCCATTCCCTTTCACTCTCCTCTTTCCCCCTCCAATAATATTTCCGATTCAACTCATTGCGCCAAAGCCTCCTTTCTTCCATTTCAGCCTATAAACCCATCTTCCTTTCCATATCATGCCCTTCTATAATAATTCTTCGCCTCGTCGTTGGTCTATTACATTCCACCTGCGCCTTAGACTTTCCTCCCGGCTCTCCCTATGATCTTCATTTTCTCTTAGAAAGTGTTGTTTTGGGCTTCGCTTCTATTGCCTGGGATTTGTTCGTTTTTTGTCCCTATGCTTCTGCGTCTAGATGGAGAATTACCATTTTGAAACTCCTCTTGGTCTTCAGGTTTTCGTTGTTGAGACATTTCTTGCTGCTCAATAGTCTTGGGACCATCTTCCAACTCTTTATTCCCTTGTCTCCGTGTTTCTGAACTTCTCTGACACGAAGTTCTTTCATCTGTAGTCTCCAGGGTCTCGACTCCTAGCGAGAGAAATCTGCCAATGCTCTGCGATCTATTGAGTCAGAAGTCTCAGAGTATGACTCAATCGAGTAGGAGCGACATTCTGATTCCCATTGCTTGATGAGGATTAAGCAGAAGTTGTAGAAAGAATTAAGTCAGGGGTGAAAGATGTATAGCTGGAGGCAGACGAAGCCAAGTCCTGGCTAGGACAAGTGAAACACACCATACTATTTAACAATGTACCTTGGACATGTTGTTCATCGGAGCCATCCCCAGACGAATCCTGCTTGCCATTGCCCATAATTGATTTACAGATCCAAACACTGGATGAATGGTTAAGTTAAGGATAAAAAATGTCAGGTAAAGGATAGAAAGAATATGTATGTAGTGATTTTAACTGTTCCACATTATAGGAGAAAATACAACGTTGCGATTGAATTTTAGAATTAGTATAAGAAAATAAGAGGATCAGTGTCTGGAGTAGAAAAGAGCAATGAGATGGAAATCTCCGATGCCAACTACTATCCGTGATATGACTACAAGTAAAAGCATGTAATATGTTAAAGTGGAAATGCACTGATAGATGGGAATGAGGCCTTCAACAAAGTTAATGCAGAAAAGAAAGAAAAAGCAGATTTACAGAAACACATGGTGGGTATAATACAATTCCCCATGACAGCATTAGGATAGTAAAATCATAGCGAGCAAATACAAACACAAGCAGCAAGTAATGATGCACCTATGATACTCTGGCGGACTCTCTTCGAATTACACATTACGTTCCTCACAGGAAAGAGACTACCAATCCTGAATACCCTCCTCTTGCAAAACATGCGGTTCTCCGTTAGCAGCGGCCCTTGCATTACTAATCTCCCATTCAAACTCCTTAAGTGCTCTAATCTCACTTCCCACAAACAGACCTCCAATTAATCCATCGATAATACCAGCCCCCAAACCTAAGGTTGATAACAACATGAGTAAAAACGCGACGAAATTGCGCGGACTCCACCATACGGCTATAAAGCAGCCGATGCTTATGAAAACAGAAGCGACGAAATGACCTAGACGAAGACGCCGTTGGCGACGCTCTCGAAGACGGTATTTATGAATCATGGCAATGATCTCATCGTACGTTGAGATTGGCAAATGAGGCGGGGAAGATGGTGGTTTTAACTGATTATGTGCACTAGTGAGTTGAGCTTCTGAGGCGGCAGTGTGTAGGTAAACTCCATTAGACATAGCTGATTTATTTTTCATGGTTTGCTCGGCAGGTGAAGCATATTTTGTGTGTAATAATGTTGCTTCGACGGAGAAGTGATCGCTCAATGAGCATTGATACTTGGAATGTCGTTGAAGCATACCAACACGTGCATTTTTTACAATCCATCCTCCTGCTGATGGATTACTTTCATCAAAACATGTATTGGCGAAGATATAGTCAAGTCGTTTAGCTCGAGGATCAGGTGTATCGCCGGGAATCTCGATCTCTGGTCTGTTTGGTCCGAGGCGTTTTTGTTGGCCTTTATTCCACCGCCATGTATTCAATACACTATCGCACGTAGCACCATTTTCAAGTAGGTTGAACTCCGCAGTTGGTATTGGACGGTGTCGAGCTTTTTCGACTTCATCAATTGCTGCACCTATGGAGCAATCAGGATGCAGAACCATCCAAACATCACGAGCAGGCGAGTGTGTACTGATCAGTCGATGGGCGAGGGATAGCGGTACCATATTGAAGTCACCAAGGCCTAGAACTAGATGTCCACGTTCTGCGGCACCTCTCATAAGTTTTGCTATTTCCCATGCTTGTGCTGTCCTATGGCAGATATAAGAATCGTGCGGTTCCGTTTCGTAGGGCGCGTGGAGCTACGTATGTCAGTTTCGGCAAGGAAGAAAGTTTTGAAGTACTGACATGTGTTGTAAAGACTTCTACAATATCTTTTGCGCCTTGTCCATATCTTATCCTCGCACCAGCAACACCCTTTCCGACAAACCAGTCGCCTCGAAAGAATGCCGTAGGTCTTCCATTTAGAGGATATCTGAACATCGAGCTCTCCTCTATTGGCCATTTGGACAGTATTGCCAATCCTCCACCAAATATTCCGCTGTGATAAAACTTCCCATAAGGCAGAATATGCTTCGTTTCATTTCGTATACTCTTGTAGTCTTGTTGTGTCCAGCACTCTTGTAGACCAACTATGTGAGGGGTAGGACTCGCAGACCCAATGGCCTTCCCGATCTCCGTCAGACGCTCATTCCGCAAATCAGAAAGAAACTTGAGACCCCAACAATTGAGGGTGATAATATTGATCTCATCAACTTCTGGCGATGGCGAGTCCATTTTTGACAAGGAGCTTGGAGCAAGAGAAGCTGCAGGGAAAGTTGTGGGAAAAGTGTCTTATATCGTGGAGATTTGCTGAGGCGGGAGCGGCGTAGTATTGAAGAACAAAATTAAAAGTTTTGGATCCTTGCAGCTGCATACCATGTATTTATATCTTCATCTTACCAATTTGATTTAGACTGAAATACGAAGAGAAAAATTGAGGACTGGGTTCAAAACCTTAATTGATTGGCTGTTGTGTTGTTTGAACTACCTTCCTACTATATTTTGCTGTCTGGTCCCTTCACTCAAATTAAGCTTCATGACGTTCTTTAGTTTTAGCACTAAGAAAACAAATAGCAGGGGTTTTACGGATTCATCCGGTAGACAGCCGAGGCGAATCTAGGATGTAGAAAAAATAGGCGTATCGCGCTTAAGTTCTCCATACCTTAGGCGGTTAATTATTATCAACCGCCATCAATGCACCAGGAGTAGGAGTTGCGAAATAATGTCCGACTTTGATTCAGCAGCTACAACTCCCTTCGAAATGGCAGAAAGACGCCAAACAAAGCGCCGCCGATATGATAGCGATGTTTCTACACCAGGTTATAGTTCACCGGATGAGCTGTCAAACGATAAACCAATTCGTCCTTCTACTAGTACGCGTCGCGATTCAACACGCCGGCAATCAAGAACGTATTCTAGTGATGGCAGCGCAGATGAACTAGACCATACACATCCTCGTCATCGAAGCCCGCGAAGCCCTCGAAGTCGTCGAAATTCTCATCATTCAAGAAGCAGATCAACTTCTGAAGACTCACCTCGTTCGACGCATTCCTCACCCTCACCCTCAGCTCACAAACCTCTAAGGCTCAACTACAAATGCAAGTTTATATTGAGGGGCCATCGAAAAGGAGTTGCGCAGGTAAGATATTCGCCCAATGGACGATGGATTGCTAGTTGTTCTGCAGATGGCACAATCAAAATTTGGGATGCGCAAACCGGAAAGCATTTACGAACTATGGAAGGACATCTTGCAGGTGTCTCGACGATAGCTTGGAGCCCGGATTCAAATACCATAGCTTCTGGCTCGGATGATAAGGTTATAAGACTCTGGGATCGGGCCACTGGTAAACCATATCTTACACCATTACTTGGTCACCATAATTACGTCTATTCGGTGGCTTTCTCTCCAAAAGGCAATGTGATAGCTAGTGGAAGCTATGATGAAGCTGTTTTCCTGTGGGACTTACGTGCGAGAAGGCAGATGAGAAGTTTACCGGCGCATTCGGATCCTGTTGGTGCGGTGGATTTTATAAGAGATGGGACTCTGGTATGCAGTTGCTCCACTGATGGACTCATGTAAGTTTATATGTTTGTCATTGATCACTACTTATTGGAGATACTTATTCTTTCACTAGTCGTGTATGGGATACCGCGACCGGTCAGTGTCTTCGAACTCTCGTGCACGAAGATAATGCACCTGTCACCACAGTTCGATTTTCTCCCAACGGTCGATTTATTCTCGCGCATACACTCGATTCGTGCATACGCCTGTGGGATTACGTTGCGGGAACTTGCAAGAAGACGTATCAGGGGCATGTGAATAATAAATACTCATTGGGTGGCAGTTTTGGTTTTAGTGGTAACCAAGGATTTATCAATTCTGGTAGTGAAGATGGCGACATTTTATTTTGGGACGTGAGTACGAAGGAGTTAATACAGAAGGTTCACGGGCATGACGGTGTAGTTTGTTGGGTTGATACTGCTCCTGGACCAAATGGAGCAGTGGTTAGTGGTGGTTTGGATGGTACGGTACGAATATGGGTTGATGTAGGGGATGAAGGTGGAGCTGCGCGACTAGATGATTTACATCTTGAATCGAAGGACAGGCATGATGTGAGGCATGAAAGTCGAGAAGACGAAGATATGAATGGTTATAGAGATGAAGATGGAGATGAGGAAATAAGTCGAAGGAGATATAGTAATGATACCCCAAGAGATGATATGAGTATTGACAGGGAGAGATCTCGCGATAGGGGAAGGGATAGAAGCGAGTTACGCAGTCCTGAGAAAATGGAGGAAGGCTAGGAATATATGGTAGATAAAATTACAAGTTTTCTGCAAATTTCTTGTTTAGTTCGCAATACTTTTCATACAAGTCGTATATGTTGTGTTGTGTTGTGTTTGACTGTAGGGTTACGATTTGCTATGTAAAACTATCTCATCCCTCGAGCTTCTTAACACTTCCCTCTACCACTTACAAGCAACTAATTCTCTTCAAAAGCTATGTTCACTTACCTGGGTACTTTCATATAAATCAGATCGTGAGCCATTTTAAGTAAGAGTACATGATTGCTTACCTACCTATTATTAGTAAGATTCAATTCCACAAGCCATGCCATGATCATGATGCCCTTCCGAAAAATACCCGACAGCCATACCATTCAATTAAAGACTCGCAACTTCCACATTGATCAAAAAATTAAACCTCGAAAGCGTAATCAATATAGAAGCTTCTATTTATCTTTAAAAAAATTCATTGATAATAGTATTGTTAGATTTAGATTCCCTTTGATATTCTCTATCAAATGGAAATGGAAAAATAAAAAATTGAAAAAATTGATTTTTGAATTTGGTGGGTTATAATTATTGTTTGGAGTGTCTTTATGTTCAAAAGGAATAAACTATGGGCGTTGGATCTGTGGGCGTGGGCTACATAGGGGCGTACAACCGGAGCGCAATGCACTAACCCTTCAAAACAAAATGTGGTTAATCAGATGTTATACATGAAGGCATGTGGAGAGTGAGCATAGATCGGATGCTTTCTTGATTGAGATATGCTCTCTACTTGGGGGGTGTATTTCTTCTCATCACTAATAACCAGCATGGTGGATCACTCGTCTGTCATGTGTACAGGAATAACTTTTTTTTTTATCATCATGTTGAGGATGTGTGGATGAATTAGGGGTTATGCACTTATGTTTTTGATGTGGTAGGTACGGGAGTGCGAGAGGTGGAAGGGTGAACATGAGGAGGAAGGAGGGAAGGAAGGAAGGAGGGAGGTGGTGATATGTGTGGATGGGGTAGAGAGGGAGTGGACCGTGCATTTGCGGGTTGAGATGATGACGTAAAAATGAAAAGTGAGTCTTGCGATTCAGGCATCAACAATTATCTTTACAGACGGGGTAAGGCAGGTAGGCAATGAATGATGTTTCGTTACCTACTTGTCGTATATACCCAATAAATCTTCTACTATACATGAACATATATATAGATACCTAAGGACTATAGGAATACCGAGGTACCTTTATTTTTCCTTCCCCTAATTTCCATAGCCGAGTAGGAATAAAAATACAAAAATGTACTTTTACAATCTTTAATAATGAATGTGAATGTAATGGAAACGTTACCATACTTGATATACCTATGTGAACAATAATTAAAAGCCTCACTGAAGAATTAATATTAGGTGCAAATGCTGACTTGTAAAGTTGTGATTGTGGATAAAACTGAAGGGGGTCGAGAAAGATACCTAGGGTTGAACAAGTCAAAACTTGGAAAGCTTCTAAGGAAAAGTTATAACATCCTTGTTAATTTGGTACAGAGGGCGTCTTTAGATATGCAACAAAATAATTCAGTTCTCTGATCCTGTGATCATCATGTGGAAAGATGTTGATTGGTAAGGTTGTGAGGTCGAGTGTGGATAAATCCCGATCAGTGCACGGACCTTAGGGGTCAAAACATGGGGATTGGGGAATGGTTGGATTGAATGGTAGGGTAATTTGTGAGTGATATGTCATGTATGAAAGTGTCACATATGGTATGAAAGTGGATGTGCTTGTTTGTTGGATGGAATGGAAAAGCTTCGTGTGTGGGATCATATATGGAAGAAAGTGAATAATGGATTATCAAGATAAACAATTTTTGAGAGTATTGAGTTTGATCAACGAAACGAGTCTATCGATGAGTCTATGGTCTTTTAAAGGAATAACCACTGTATCCTGTCCTACCTTTCAAACCGCAATGAAAACCTAGATCAGACTGCACGAGTAGTCATAGTCATTATATGAACAGAAATTAATAACTTTATCTTATCCCCACTCCTGGGTCCTTCAATTCATCTCGATCGATCCAAAGAGATGGATGGTTCATGCTAATGTAAATCGAACAATTACTATTCTTCAAACTAAGACACAATACTGGAGAATACCATGATCTTGTCCAACTTACAATCCTCATTTCCAAGAGCAATAACTGAAGAACTTCCCTTTCTCGCCAATTTTACTTCCCCCATCTCAAGCGGGCTACTTCACTTGACCCCGCGCTGCTGCATACCTTAGAACATAAGAATGTACGCTGTTAACCCCCTTATCACTTCAACATATCCCTCGAATCTGGATTTCCCAGCCTTATCTCACGGTGCCGTGCGGGCCTCCTTCGTCGTAAGTTCGCCCATCAAATGCGCAGGTATCATTTCATCGTTGACGGTCGTTCTTTTTATTTTACTATGACCACCGACTGTTGTATCTAGTCTTACAATGAATGAGATTCAATAATACACCGGTACCGGAATTTCGGAATCTGCCTTGATTTGTCTTAGCACCACTCTCTTCCAAGTTGTTGTCATCCGCTAGCACTTGCTCGCGTGTTTGCATGTCACGTGCGCAGCCAACTTGTGTACTTGTTTCTACTTCCAATATTGACTTTCTACATAACAACATACATAACAACATCCAAGCCCCTTATTATCACATCAGACTTTGATCTATAACAACTTTTTGAACATGATTTTTCTTCATTTATGGCAGCATTCATAGTTTTACAATCTTTCCTACTTCACTTCTTCATACTTAATAGTGTTACCTAAAGCCTTCTTCGTAACGTTGTCTGGTATTGCAAAGCTTCGCCGGATTGTATTATCGAAAATACCAAGTAATGCCAGCACAAATGGCCTCTAACATCCTAATCAGTAATGATACCAGTAGTGGTTCCCCTGAAATCAAGAAGTCTCTTGGAATGAGTCGTCTCTGGGTGAGATGATTGACAACTCAACATTAGAGTCTCCTGCTAATTTTCATGTAATAGAAAAAGGTAAAGAATAGTGCAGCCACACAAAACCGTACTGCATCTGAAAATTTACACAATCACAATCAAGGGATTTTCATGTCTCCGCAATTCACATCGGATTCGAGCTTTGCGGCTTTATTACAACCCTCACAGGAATCGTTTTCGGTTTCCAGGGACAGGTTTCTTTCTGATATCAGAAAATACATACCTTTAGGCTCCATTCGCATACACAAAAATGACTGTTTATTCTTGAATGGTGAAATCTCCTCGTGTCAGAGTTGGCATGCGTTTCACCTTCCCGCTGATATCAATAATTTCCAGCACAATATTTTGTACCTGCCGAACACTCTACAGGGTAAACTACTTCATTCTGCTCCCCTTAATGCCTTTAATGGTATTCATAATGCTGGCTGGATCCGAATGGAGTTCCGAGCTAGGAATCATTGTAGTGGTCAAGTAAGGGTGTATATTCTACCAGATGATATGGGAAATACCGTGTTAGATCGGTAAATATTGATCAATCTTTGCTTGGAATTTGATGCGATATTAACCAGTTCCTAGATCAACGAAGCGACTACGCAAAGGTATGGAGGCTCTGCTAGATAACTTGGATGTTTCGCATGCTACTTGGCAGGGTACATGGTCAGATGACCAACCTATCCAGCATATCAACTCTACGTTGAATGCTGATCAATCCACCAGCAATGTTTCTCTTTTCAACATGTTTAATACTCTGCCGTCTCCGAAGCCCGACCCGCAGATCATTGTTGATGAGTACGTACAAGATGCGATGCACTCGATTCTGGATGGCAGTGTATCAGGACTTCATCCTGATATTCAAATGCATCCGTACCAATGTCAAACGGCTGCTATGATGCTGCAACGTGAATATCAGCCAGCATATCTACTTGATCCACGTCTTCGAGAGCTCAAAGATCAGGCCGGGAACAATTTTTATTGTGATTTAAGTGCGAACGCTTGCTTGAGAGAGCCACGTTTTTATGAAGCGCCAAGAGGTGGGGTATGCGCCGAAAATATGGGATTGGGAAAAACATTAATCTGCTTGGCTTTGATTTTAGCAACAAAAGATTTGAGATCCCAAATACCAGTCGAAAAATCCGTTGGTTCAACTCCAGTGCGACCCACTACAGGATCTCTTCTTAATATGTCCGCCTCGACTATTGGTAGACTCGGAATTCCATGGGAGAAAATTCTTGGAAAGATGGAGTCTGAAGAAGGAATCGAATTTAGCCGAATGCGTGATGCCCTAAAGAGGGGTATTGGATACTACTGGTACACGCCTGACCCACCTCGTCGTGAGACACGCAATCCAAGAAGCACGACTCGTAGGAAAATATGGCTCACCAAAGCTACTCTAGTAGTTGTTCCCGCTAATTTGGTGCAGCAATGGATACAAGAAATAGAAAAACATACCATTGGGCTGAAGTGCTTGATTATGGATGATATGAAAGTCCCACTACCGGCCGCGAATGTGTTGACTAGCTACGACATCATTTTATTTAGTAAAAAGAGATTTGAAAGAGAGGCTAAGGAAGAAGTCTTGCCTGCTCGGCAACGCACAACCAGTTGTCAGCACTCTTTTGAAACTCCCGAAGCTGACAATTGCCCATGCACTTCCCAGTCAGATCTGGGACAGCCCGAAGAAACATTGTATCGTTCCCCGCTGAGAGATCTTCATTTCAAACGTCTTATTAATGATGAAGGTCATACTTTTGGAAATGCGACAAAAAACTCAAAGTCAGACGCGATAATTATGATTGACTTCCTGCACCTCGATGCGCGTTGGATCATTTCAGGAACGCCCACACATGGCCTTCATGGTGAATATATCAAAATCCCGGAAACTAATGATATCACAACTCACTCTGTTGAAATCAAAGATCGGGAGATTACCAAGTATTCCCCGGACGAGAGCTTTCCTATCCAACAAAAGTTATTTATCGAGCAAGAAACCAAAGACCTTGAGAAGCTTGGAAATATTCTGACCTCATATCTGAAGGCTCGACCATGGGCAAACAAGGTTGCAGAGGGTGACCAGGCAGCCTGGACAGATTTGGTCATCAGGCCAAGATACAATCGCCAAATCCACGGTGATTCACAGATTCTCAAGTCCACTTTGGAAAGTATGATCATCCGTCATACAGCGAAAGACATTAATGAACAGCTTTTCCTTCCTCCATTACACAAGAAGGTCGTTTACCTCGAGGGATGTTTGCAGGATAAGCTGTCTTTAAATATCTTTTCGATGATGATTGTTATAAATGCTATCACCTCAGAAAGGGAGGGTGTAGACTATTTGTTCCATCCGAAATCAAGAGGAGCACTTCAAGCCCTAGTCTCAAATTTGCGACAGGCCTCCTTCACTTGGTCAGGTCATACCACATTAATGATAGAGAAATCTCTAGATACGGCAAAAGAATTTATAAAAAGGAACAACATCGCCCCTGAAGACAGAACGCTTCTAGAGGAGGCAATTTTCGTTGGAGAGTGCGCTCTTATCAATGGTATATTCACAGCTATTACTCACGTACATGAAATGGCCATGTATATACAAAATAATTTGCTGCAAGAGATTAGGGCTGCATGGGCACTTGACCATCATGATGAGATTCCGACCTTAATGGGCGCCACGATGGTTCTTGGCGCAAAAGACGTATTCAATTGCGCGTCTGGTCCGTCGTATTATGGCGAAGACGTTTGGAAAAGGGAGATAATTAGTTATGGAGAGCAGATGAGAAGCGAAATTGAGTCGGGAGGTCATGTCGACCCTGCCCAATTTAGAAAATCACGAACGGCCAGTAAGGGGCTTATTCTATCAAAACCTTTCGGTTTGGCAAGTAACAAGAATGGGAGAGGCTCTACTATCATATCTACCGCATCGTCCAAGCTTTCATATCTCATGGATCAGATTTTCCTTCACCATATCCTCGAAAAGATCATCGTATTTTACGAAGCTGAGAACGTTGGTTATTACATCGCGCAAGCACTCAAATGCATGAACGTCGAACATTTGCTTTATTCTAAAAGGGATTCCACATCTGAGCGCTCAAAATGTGTTGTAAAGTTCAACTCTCTCCCCAATTTTCGTGTTATGCTCATGGATGTTAATCAAGCAGCCTTTGGTTTGGATATGAGTGCAGCATCCAGAGTATACTTCGTAAATCCTGTCTTCTCACCACAAATTGAAGAACAAGCTATCAAGAGAGCTCATCGCATCGGGCAACTTCACCCTGTGCATGTTGAGACTTTAGTTCTCAAAGGAAGCATCGAGGAAGTCATTTTGACAAGACGAGGAGTAATGAGCGATCAAGAGCACATGAAGTTGAAAGATATCCTAGATGATCAAACATTGTACCACTGGATTAGAAATGTTCGATTTTTTCCTTTACCAAGTGGGATAGTGCCAGGCCCTCAGCAACTTGCTCCTCTCACTTACCCGCAGCTAGCTTTCGTAAAGCCTCCACTCGATTCAGATGCAGGGAAATCTGACTTAGGTACGCAAAGAGAATTAAGAGCTAACAGCCTTGCAAGAGCTAGAGGCAGATTTTCGAGGCCCTTTTTTCCAAGAACTGCATCTGCTATTGCTAATGCGCAATTCCATATCCAGGTACAAGGATTACCAAATGCAATTCTGTATCTCATTCTTCATCACTATAGAAAAGGACTTGATGAGAGGATGCATGACCAGGAGGTACCGTTATCAATGTCAATGAATGGTTCGAGATTACCGCGTCGAAATATGTTCATAAAAGGTAATAGCTTTACCAGTGGTGAATCTAATGATCGCGGTAGCCACACGGACCCTCAGGTTGGGCCCGAACGGAGTGCCTTGCAAGACAAGCGCTAGATTTGCAGCTGGAGATAAATTCATGGCCAATTTGGGTATGAGATAGAAATTTCTCAGGGCATTGGACGTGATAACTAATGGAGAAGACGGAGAAGAATAAACGATTGCGTGGGCATGAAGATGCAGGTTACGTGCTTTGCCATCAAATGATAACTCACGAAACTTAATTGAGAGGGGTTTTGAAGAAGAGCAAGGGAATAAAGTGGTGACCGAAGGCAGGGAGGAGAAAGCGTCCTGACGAAGCATATGAATCTCAGGCTTAAACGTTCGCTGCGCATGAGACTGCGACTGGGCATTTTGCATGATTCGTGACGAGCTTATTGGGACATTTGTGCATATTGAATGATGGCGTTGGTTTTTCGGACATTTTATTATGTGATGGGAAATGGTTTACATGTGGGCCGTTGGAAGTTTTTGCAATGGAATATAATATTTATGCTGCTGTAGACAGTAGTCTGTAGGCTGCAGTAGAGATGTTTGAACATGTTAGGGGTATAGCTTGATACGGGTGATCATGATCATGATCAGATGATATAGCACTCTGGGTATGGAAATAAAGTCGTTGGAAGCAGTTGCTTGGGGTGGGATGGGATTTTAGTGTGGGGATTTTATGATGGTGTTGAAGGTGCTGATGGTGCTGATGATGTTGAAGGTGCTGATGATGTTGAATGTGGAATTTCTTTTCTGATAGGGTGGAGTGTGATATTGTGGTATAGAGGAAAATGTAATTTTATTTTTTGGGGGGAGGAGAGAAGAAGGAAGAAGGAGGAGGAAAAGGGATAGGGAGCTAGGATGGAAATTAGTTTTATTTGTGTTATGAGATGTATAGTGTAGGAAATGTAAGCATTAGTTATAGAGAGTGTTTAATCTCATTTATTTACAAGATTTATATTTCTACATTTTTTAACGATAACGTCGTCGATATACCTAATCTTACATCTATCATACACTCTTCCAACCCCCCAAAAATTTCCTTTCCTCTATTCAGAATTATCCCACACTATTCCCATCCCCACATCCCACACTACTCAAAACTCCCATTTCCACCTCTCCTCCACCCCATCCCCCCCAAGCTTACCGCCTAGCAACCTCCCTCCCATCAACAAAATTAGCAACCCAATTAACAACCACCATAACCCGTCTCCTCCACCCCCTCGTCCAAGCAATACTCCCACTTCTCCACGCCAACCAAGCCGATACACCCGTCCACTCTGTTTTCCCCTGTATTACGCCGTCGCCACGACCAAGGTAGGCTATTAGATCTTTTTGTTTGTATTGGAAAGATGGGGTTTTGGGAGTTGAGATGCTGGTTTCGCTGGTTTCGCTGGTTTCGTTTGCGGAATGAGAGTTTGCGAGAGGAGAGTTTAGAGCTGCATCTAAAAGATGCCGAGTGAGCCATTTGGCTTTCTGTACGGCTACTTCGGCCGTGGTGGGTAATTCGTTATTTAAGATATCTGCGGCGTCGCCTAGCGCGTAGACGTTTTTGATAATATCCCCTGTCTGATTTCCCTGTTCTTGTTCTTGTTCTTGTTTTTTCACAGCATCAAAATCCGCAGTTTTGAGAACCCTCAACCATTTATCCGTGAGAATTCTCTGTAAGCCTTCGCTTTTCCTACACTCTAACCCCTCGACTAATTTCCCAGCCGTATTACCTACCGCCCATACTACTACCCCAAATGGAACTTCTCCTTCTTCTTTAATCAGCATACTATTTCTTTTTATCTCCTGGATATGTTTTCCCGTTTTAACATGGACATCTCCTCTATTTTCGAATTTTTCCATCGCGTATTCACTGAGTTTTTCGCCGAATTGTCCGAGTAATCTATCTGCGACATCGTAGATACTAATTGTGCAGTAGCCTTTTAAGCGTGGATATACGGCTCCTAGATGTTCTTGAATCAACTCGTCGATTTCAGCTGCTAGCTCTATACCTGTTGGTCCTCCTCCCACAATTGCAAAATGTAATATGTTCTTTTTCTCCTGTTCTGAAATCGTAGGTAATGATGCCCGTTCTAAACAATCTAGTATTCCCTCTCTTAATCTTCGAGCATCGGGTACGGTTTTCATGAATAATGCATATTCTTTCACTCCTGGTGTTCCAAATGTATTTGTTTCGCATCCGGGAGCTAGAATTAATTTATCGTATTTTACATCGAATTCTGCTTCATCTTTTTTGATATCTTTGTAGGTAGGCGAATCCATCGATTCACCACTAACACCGCTTCCTCCGATACAAGCTTTGCATTTGATGATTTGGTTGTTGAAATCAACCGATGTGACGAGGGCTTGGTATTTTTCGAATTTGGAATCGCGACGTCGAATGGGTTCTTCGGCGAGGCGGAAATCGAAGATGGAACAAGCGGCCGAGGCGAGGAGGGGTGTGAGGGCCATGGTTCGAGAGGGAGATATGGCGATTATGTTGTAGGGAGAGGTGGAGGAAGTCGTGGCTGATAGTTCTTGCGTGAGGGTCCAGCCGGCCCAGCCTGTGCCGATGATTGCGATGGTTGGTTTTTGGGGGTGGGATTGTGCGTGGGGTGAGGAGTCTTCATTTGGGGACGAAGAAGGAGGACGAGATATTGAGGGTTTGGAGGAGGTTTGGCTTCGTGTTGTTGAGGACATACTGGGGTGGGATGTTTGGTTGGGGGTGGAAAAATTGGAGACGGGCGAGGCTTTATTTGAGACAAAAGGAATAGGATATCTTCCAATACTTAAAATACTGAAAGTAGATAAACCTCGAGTACTAACCCTTAAAGTTCTATCCAGAAAATGACTTTTATACATCCGAAATATATATTAAAATTATAATCTTACAATGTAAAGAAAACAAGGAAAACAAATACTTATTAATAAAACAGACAATTTTGGAACTTTTCTACATAGTTCCTGAGCTTAACTTTTGGCGTTGATAATAACCTGGTATGTGATAGTTCGATGTACTGACGGCATGGACATCTCTTAGTGTATGTGGGATCCATTCTGGTAGAGATATCGATCTAGACCAAACGAACAGATGCAAGAGCACGCGAGATTCTGATCTTGATTTGAGCATTGATTCACAACATTTCAGTGTATCAATGGTTCCTGTCATGATGTAGAACTTGTTAGGTGTGAGGCTGTGGAGAAAAAATTATTGATGTTGATGTCAATCTGACTGAAAGATTCCGAGATATAAATTTCTAAATATCGGTATTCGGAATCATGACGTATACGAGCGGAGGTGGGTCGATGCTGATTAAGATCATGTGACCTCGCCTCCTTTTCTTGAAAACTTCATTGGGTCACTAATTGATACTGCTAATATACTCCAGAACGCAGGCGATCTTGACAACATTTACTACTTGCATCGACGCTTAACGGCATCATGGCCCCTCAGATTTCTCTAAAACTCATCGCGATGAATCTGTACTTATTAGTCTAAATGCCATCTTTCCCAGTATAACTCCACGGAACACCATCAAAAATCTGCGCCAGTCCTTTGTACTTATCCACCATCGTCCCATCAGCATGAGCGGGTACCCAAGCATCTATGTCGGTAATATGAAGTTTCGGCGTAGATACCTTTCCAGGTACGTTACTAAGATCAGGTTCAAAACAACACAATAATCCGGGAATTGGTGTCCTAGTCTTCCAAAACTCCAAGGCATCTTCATCCACCTCACCTTTTATATATATCTCCCAGTCACGCAACATACTTTTCGTATCTACCGGATCGACAAAGCGGAGTATACTCCCCAAATCATCCCAAATTCTATCATCATACACTAACGGATCTCTTAGTGTAAAGTTCTGGTACGGAAACTCGCTATCGACATCAATGATTCTTAATTCGTTCTCAACATCAAACAAGCCAATCCAGTATCTGCTATCTGCTAAAATGATGTGTATCTTTTCCAGAGCTGGAAAATGTGTCCTGATAAGTTGAAATAGATGTGCTTGAATGCCGGCAACTTTTGATTCCCTAAGGGCATCCCTGGGACTCTCTCCCACCTGCGAGGATCAACGTCGGTGAGAGCAAGGCGTGTTATGTTATTCATGGTGATATAACCTCCGTGGCGGTAAAGGGATATAAGCTGTAGACTTTCCAAAACAAGAGTATCTTTTTGGGGTCTCATGTAGACGGAGGAAGAGGTATTGCCCGCCGAAAAATGACACTTTAGAAAGTGGTAAAATACCTTATACTCTGGATTTTCGACTTCATCAAATAATGCATGTGGCATATTGGTATTGAGAGGCCTGATTTTAACCTCTTTGAAGTGTCGAAATACCTCATTTTGAGAAACTTTGCATGCTTGGAGTAATGGCAGCATGATGGGGTTTGCAGGGAGATTGTGTGTGAGTTCCACATCGATTCTCCCTTCGTTGTGGTTTTGATCTTCCTCGATCTTGAATTTGAATTGGATTATTTGAGGGTCTGGGAAGCTTTTTTTGTATATCATGCATTGGGTTTCTGCCGGAAATAGCTTGAATTTTCCGAATGCCCCATTGCTTGAAGCTTGATCTGAGCCTGAATTAGCGTTGTCTGAATCTCGATCCGAATCTTGATCATGTTGATACCCTTCCTCCCAATACTGCTTAGGTGGACAATGTTTACACATTATGAGGTGTAAAATCTGGGTAGTATGATCTGGTTGTATGTTTATTGAGATGCGACAAAATGTTGATTGAACTTGAAGTTGGGGTTGAAGTGTTTGGAAGATGGATTGCAAAATACTGGAGGACTTAACTTTGGGATAATATAACAAAGCAAAGGCGTATGGGAAGAAAAGAAGAATTGACTAGCTTTGTTAGTACAAGGTTTACTATTGCATTGACCGGATAGTAATAGGTGAAGTGTACTGCACGGCTTTTGCTTAGCAGAATAGGAGAAATGAACTTAAGTTCCTTTTCAGAAGGAAAATCAAAATATAAAAAAAAGTCCTAAGAGTTGCTTGATGATGCAATATTTTTTCGTTCAAAAATGTTTTTTTCAACATTGAAGCTATATGAAGGTCCGATTCAGTTGGTGGGGTATTGATGAGAAGATTCATTAAGCTGTAACAAACTGCCTGACTCACTCTATGGAGCAGCAAACTTCGTGAGTGAATACGGTTTACCCAAAATGGTATCCTGTAACAAAATCCTCTGTAAAGTAAATCTTTACAAGGAATCTCTTAAAAATTTATATTCGAATAATAATATTCTAAACATTTTAAAGTTGTGTATGAATATTATTCGAAAATCTAGTAATTCATTTTAGGGGGGGGGAGATTTGCAAAAACCAGGGTTGGATTAAAACAAAGCATAGGAATAGTTGACTTTATTATGTGCTTTATTTTTTCAAGAAAGTTTACTCATATTACAGAATCATCATTCAATTCGAGATTACTCATTATTCTTAACCTTTCATACGATAATCAATATCGAAATGGAATGATCCTAATCAGAAATAAATACAATGAATCCTCTTCGATCCGTCAAGTCATAAGACTCATCCCTCTCCCAAAAACCTATTCATAAGTCTATGAATAATAAGGAGAGCTAGATTATCATGTATATAAAGCGAGTCCCGTTCCCCTGTTCCTTTGCTTTATATATTTACATCTTCCACATCCCCAATACGAAGTAACTTTCCAACTACCAACTACATTAAATAAGTCCATCTCACCATCAGAGAATTTAACACTTTCGGAGACGCTTTGAATAATTCAGCACGATATTGGGCAGTACATCTCATCAGCAAAACACTATTATGGTTCCACTCCACGTTAGAACCGTCGACGAGGGAACCACAAAAGTTTCAGTTTAGAACTCAAAGCTCTCTTTGCTATAGACAGATGTTAACAAAACAAAGTCACCGTTACCCCGCCACTTCCAAAAAAAACATGTTCATTTGGCGCTGAAAGCATCAAAACCTTCGATGAATTCGGCGAGTTTCCACGAGAGATACAGTTAAAGATCTTCCAAAACGCACTTCCTAAGCCACGCATCGTTTATATCAAATTTCGAGTGCTCAGATACGTAATGGATGATTGTGTAACATTGAATGTCTTTCTCGATGTAGATATAGCCAAACTGTCGGGCATATTACCCTTGCTACAAACATGCACAACTTCTTCCTCGGTAGATCTTGACGGCAGATTTTCGAAGAAGATTGAGATTCATTCCTTGAACAGTGGCCCGGCCTTGTCCCCGATACGCTTTTCTATGAGGGGTGTTCCAGTACACTACGAGGAGCGGGAACACGGAGTGCGCAACTATACTTACATGCGACCTTCTCAAGATATTCTTATGGTGAATGCCGAATCATTAATCGCATTACATCAATATGGCGGATCACTAAATCTTGAAGGACTGGCTCATATTGCTTTGCATAAGGCTACACTGTGGGCAACCGGGCTCTGGGGCATTAAGGTGGGACGAGGTCATCCAGACGTGCAGAGAAGGATTGATTTGCTGAACTTCATTAAGGCCCAATGTTCTACCCTCAAGAGTTTGAGTATTGTACTATACAATGAAACGACTTATGAAGATCCCACTACCAACAGTCGACTTCTTGACCTCAATAACGATCTGTTGAAGTTAGACCTCAGGGATAGAAGTGGAGAACAAGTCCCGCGTAGGAAGGTGTCTCCCCATTATGGTGAGTTAGACCGCCTGTTGAAAGAGCAAAACTTCATTGTTTGAAATACTAAGATGCACCACGACGAGATAGAAGAACAGTGAAACAAGGATTCTATCTCATACTGGAAGGGAGTCGAGGTAGTCAACCGTCTACATTGCCTGTTGAATAATGATCATGGCTATCCGAGCCTCTGGATTCCAATACTCAAAGCTTGTGTGCGCTGCAATGATGATGGAACTCTAGCTACCCTACCAGAGAATAAACCCGATGAGATAGTAGATCTCAGGAACGAACTCAGTTTGATAGAGGCCAGCAATGCGATGCCATAAAAACAGCCAGACGACGTCCTTTAAGTCCCAAGTTGGTATTCAAAGGAACGAATTTGCTGTTCAGGGATGAGGTTGCATTTTTTTTTGGTGGTTTGGTAGTGTTGATCGAAGAGGTGCAGGCGATAGATAAGCATGGAAATAAAATAAGCCAGATTTTACTCACTGAACTCACTGAACAAAATGAACGTGCAGTGATCCAATTTGTTTTGTGAAAGTGCATGCGTGCAGTTATCTTCCAGGTTAGTACAATGAAGTATAGCCAATATCAAGATAATTCAATATCTCCTTTCTCTAGTCTCTGCTCACTCAGTAATTTCCAAGATCTTTCGTTGCCCACGCCCATCAACCCCCATTTATCATGTGTAGTGATCACAGTCTGTATCTGAGTATGCATATATAGTTTTAAGACTGTTTTGAATAGATAGAACCTCTTTTTGAGATTCCCATTAAAGATAATTGATGCAGGCAACGTGCTTTGATCTTTTGTCTGCTGCAACAGTAGTCTCGATTAAATGGGTTACTCATTCAGAGCTCCCAAAAAAATGATCATTTGATATGTCACATGTATATTCCTATAAATTTACTTTGGTATTAGTTTGTCTCTTTTTAAATCCAGGATATAAAAAACTTGAAAATTATTTGCCCAACACTGGACAAAACATACGTCTTCTGTATGTCGTAGAAAGTTTTTCTCTAGTGTCTATGTGGATTGTACTATTATTATCTCTAAACTCTCATCTAAAACTTTCGGCAAGGAAACAGCTGGACCTGCAAATTCAATACTGGCTTACTTACGAGCTCAGCCCTGTGGATAGGTTACCTTGTGCTTAGATAACATTGAAAAATTGACCTTTCAATAGGTAGGTTTCTTTGAGGTCAGGAAATTCATACGCCTTTTACAGGTTCATCTATAGCGAGTTCTTTTATCAAAAATTATATCACCATCTTTCCATCACAGCAGTCAATACTCAATGACTTTAAATCAAATAAATTGAAAATAACACTGATGACAACTATGTCGAAAATCTAGGTCAAGAGCCTTTGGATTTGGCAAAGATGCTCCCCCTTATTACACATTCAGATGGTAAGAATCATGGCGCTACATCATGAGTTCCCACTGTCGTTATGCTAACAAAAGATAGAGACAAGACACTATCATCGAGCTTCCAGTGACTGAAGGCTATACAGTTGATGATGGTATAACGTCATCACTGAATAATTCTACTTTCAGCAGCCCGAGTGGTAAGAGCATTGCAGCTAGATAAAATATGTTTCCTGTACTAATACATGATAGTGACAGGAGCACCTCTATCCAGTTTTCCTACGTCGAGCGACGCACTCAGTTCCAATATTCTCACGGAATTCCTTGCGAAATACAATGGATGATTCTGAATCAAGCTTTACCAGACCACGGCCAAATTATAGTGAGGGTCAGGATCTACTTTACGCAATTTCTTGCTGTTGTTTATTGAAATCAAACAGGAGAGCTCTACCAGTCCAAATGCGATCTCAATGTCACGACTAATGCCGCTTTTGCTAAGTATTTACCTCTACTTTTCCTATTACTGGCATCCAATGCTTGCAATGAGACTATAACTCGCGGCGTATTATAAAGAATTGCGGTTTCCTTTCCGAAGAACCACAGCGAACAGCAAAGCCACGTTTCGAAAAAGTACCCATAAATATCGATTACTGCAAAGAACCACCTCCGCATTGTCGCTATACTTGGATGGTTACATAGATGGACAAGATCAGCTGAGTATACTTATCGATACCGATGCAAAATTCTACCAACTTGACTTCAGAGATGAATCTGGGCTACGCTCGGTGGAGTATGGCGAGCAGTTTGGATTCGAGGGTTGTTTATAAACGACTTTACGCCGGGGAATCCTCAGGGGCTAAGTAATACATCAACTGTGCTAGGAGATTACCTGAAGGAAAATAGTGAGGATGAAGACAAAGTATCCTATTGGAAAACTGCCGAGGTTGTGCCTGCTTTTCCAGCCAGACCCGATCCCACAATGACTCGGATGCGGGTAATGAAGGTGCATGCATTCATACCACTTGATGCTATTGGAAATCCTACATACAAGAACAAGGTAGAAAGTACAGAATCAGGGAAGTTCACAGATAAATGATGGCAGTATGCTATATGCACTTTCCGGTAGTCAGAAGTACTGCCCGTTGGCCCGAAGATATATGGGATCAGGCGGTCAACATCTTGCTTTTCTGTCAATGTTGCAATTTACAGAATTGGGCTTGAGGGTGAAGAGTGCCGAAATACTCGTTAACTGGAGACTAGAAGTATTGAGACTCAGGAGAATGTTGTAATGCAAATGATTGCAAAAAGACGAATAATGCAACTCCATTTTGTGGTGCTCAAAATGATTAGTGAATTCTCGCGCAGTATCCCAAGTACGTATACCAAAGTCTGTGCCAGTGATGGCGTACAATGGTCTATTGATGTGAGACACGAATGCTTCCACCTTGAGAAATTTGCCTGTGGTTTTCTGTCCGTCGGGCAAAATTGCTAGGCTTGCTGTCGTTTATATTAGTAGCTTATTGCTTTTGGCATTGCAAAAAACGTACAGCATCTCTGGTCTCTTTCGTTAAACGAGAATTTACCACTTAGGGGGTGAGCTCTCACGAAAACTTTCTACAAACTCTCGTCTCCTCCCAGCAGCACAGGATCCTTCAAATCTACTTCGCTCATCATGAATTCCACTTCCAAATTCCTTACTGCTTCCACATTCAGCATGGAAGACTCGATATGGGATTGGTAACCATTAGATCGCCGTGACTGAACAAATGCCAAAGACCTGCGAATGAAATCTCTTTGAAACTGCCATCCTTGATTTGTTTTCGAAGTCCAAAGATATGTTTGAGGACGGAATCTATGAACTCGGCATGGCATTTTAGATGCGTCAGTCTAGTATCAAGACATTCGAGAGAAGTCTGGAGAGGTAGAAATACGACATGGAAACAACTCACAAAATTAGTGTAATTTCTGGTTCGGAATTCGCACGTCTCCGATCTCGTATCTTTGTCTACTTGCTCTAGCTTTTTGTCATCTATGACCCGCGAGTTCTTTATTGGCTTCGCGCTTTTGAATTTTATCATGTCCTACAACTCCTGCAATTGTTGTCCTTCATAGTCCACAAGTTCACTTATCTTGAGTCTCGCACCGGCTCCTTGTTATTATCCCCAATTTGTTCTTCGGTGCCTCGAATTTTCCACGGAAACAACAAGACATACTTTCCTTTTTGCACCAAATACTTCAACCCTGTCAAATCTGTGAAATCCATCCTATTAATTCCAAGGTTCAACTCTGCACCTCCACCGCTCGTCGAACTTCAACTATTCCAGGAGAAGATGCTCTATCTAAACGAACTCGTGATGGACATGGAGAGTTCAATTGACGATGTATAGCGTTGCGTCTAGTACATAGAGCACGAGTTGGCGACCGAAGGAAATCTCGCTCAATTCTGAGACCCATCGCCTAATCAAAACATAATCTGGATCCTATTATAAGTTTAAGACCAACAAAGAACTATGCACAGTGGAGTATAATATCCATTTGCTCGTCCACAACATAATCCATCTCGCGGTATTTGGGACTTCGAAGGAGAGGTGATGGAGATGCGTTCGAGTCCATGTTAGACGAGTTTTCATGGAAGATGTCGCTGAATTCATTAGCACGGCCTTGAAATTTCTATAGAATGTTAAGTGTTAGATTTAGAGCTTTGATCTGAGCAACTTGCTTGCCTTCTGCTAATACCATCTCTCAACTAACTTTCATCTTCATGCTCATTGTTCTTCCTGTTTTCAGGCAATTCCTCGCTACTCACAAAATTAACATCTGCCTGCTCACTCATACAATCTGCTTCTCCCTCCTCAATGACTTTTCGACTCATCCCAGTCGATGACCTCGACGATACTCTCACTCATCATTTACCCTTCCTATTTCCAATCGCTTCCCCGTAAAATTGGTTCGTTGAAGGAGTCCTCATGACTTGACATATCTCGACGTTCTAGAAACCAGGGATTTTCTCCAACATCCCATCTCAGCCCCTTCACCGTGTACGTATTCTTAGACTTCGAGCGGCGGGAACCCTAGGGCTACGAGGAGTAGTATCGGCTTCGCGAGAGCTGCTAATGTTGGGGATGAAATTTTACCTGTTAGACGGCCTGTCGTGAGCTACTACTTGGTAGGAAAAATATGGTGCAACAGTCAACTTATATTTCATTGAATTAATTGTGATACTTGAGATTAGTATCATGAAAAGTATGTAAAAGGAAGGATCATTCATAGCTACATTGGCAAAGGTTATCTAAGAGATATTTTTTATCGTTTTCTGATAAGGTAGTGGCTTTATAAAGCAAACTTTTGAGTTCCTAGCAAATTCTTTTCCTTTCGACCAACCATCCTTTCCATATTCCTTTTCTTTCTAACTTCTCGCTGGATCACCAAAAATGGTAGATCTTTACAACCACGACGCTGTGGATGAAATAAAACATAAATCAAAGTTAAATACATCAAAACTTCGCAAATCTCCTCGGTTTCCCATTCCAGACTTATCAACTAAAAGGTCTTCAAATCCTAACCTAGATTTCAAATCCAAAATTCACTCCAAGATAGTAGACATATTTTCCGTATGTAACTAGTATCATCGACCGTACGCCAAGCACCCAAACTCAATAAGATTTACCAACTTGCTCCGTCGAATATTTGTGCCAATCCTTTTTATTTATAGACAGGACTTCCATCTTCATGACATGGGATCGTGAATCCCATTGCAGGAAACCACAGTCGAGGTTCAATTCCCGCATTGTTCAAGTTGCCTTCAACCCAGCCCAATACAGAAGGTACTACGTTGACCTTCCGCCAAAATTCTGCAGCACCAGGATCCGCTGTTTGCTGATGCTGGACATGTTGTTTAAATCCATCCATTGCCCACCTCGCTTCGGCAATTACCCCATTTATCTCTTGTTTGGGGTCATGCGAGTGATGAATGATGGATTGAATTTTGCTCGGGCTAGCCACGAAATGTAAGTCCTCAAAGTCTTCGTCTATTTCGACAAGCCTCGAAGCCGTTGCCGACTTTACAATTTTTGCCCCTCCTATATCATCCCAGTTTCCAACATCGCCAATGACCAAATTGAATTTCTCAAGTGCCCGGCAATTCTTTTCGATAGTAGTAAAGATCTGGCAAAGAGATTCGTTCAAGCCTTCACCCTGTTGCTCGTCGAGAAGCCAAGTACCCATACCATGTATAGCTACGCGTGTCAGAGTGGAGATGGAACCTATATAGCCGCCACATTCATATAAATTGGTCATTGAAAGTGCGCTACACATGAAGGTATCGACCGAAGGTCGCATATAAGAGTAACTAAGATTTTCACGTGAATTCAACCGATTTGAGAGAACAGTGGGACCCATTCCTGATGGAAATAGCTCGATCTTCTTAAATTGACGATATGCTGTGTTTCTTGAGATTCTACAGGTCTCCAATAGTGAGAAGTTACCGGGAAACTTGGAGATTTTTTGGATAGACGCTAGATAACATCTCGTCTTCATCGGGAGTGATCGCCTCGAAGTTAAAACGCAAAAAATCTGGAGACGGCAACATCGACTCAAAGACCATGGCTTGGAGCTCCGGGGGAAGTTTGGTAAATTGGGGGAACGTATTATGAGCTTGACTTGAATGGCTCGCAACTAGGCTGGAGCCTGATGGAAGATTGCTAGCTAGAAACCTTTAATAAGTACAGCCAAACATATATTAGGAGCCTTAAGTTCTTACACTACTCATCTTCGCTTTCTGAATTCTCCAACGACAAAATTTTTGATGGTGATTCCATTGTGTAGGTTGCTTAAAAATACAAGTGGAAATGAAGAAATAACCAGAGATGCAATATTCTTGTATGTTTGGCGATATGGTCTCGATGTGAGTGATTATGAGTTGAGTGATTATGATTCGACAGGCAGTGATTCTAGCGATAGTAAATATAACGAGGAAAGAAGAATGAAACTAAAAGAAATCTAGAATGGAGGTTCATGGGTGTATTAGTTACTTACAGTAAGCGAGTCAGCCGGTTGTAATTAGTATGAAGCGCTATAAGTAGATGAACTAGAATTACTGGCTCGTTGTCAGCCCTAATATGTCAAGTACGGTGATCGTGGGTCTACTACTATATAGTCATGATTCGTAGCACCAATAATAAGATAACCCTCTTCACACTTATAATAATAACCGTCCATCGTCATCGGTTAGGACAAACTAGTAACTACCGTAGTCAAAGTTAACTTTGGCGTGGCCCACAGATCTTATTGTAAACC